CAGGAAGCGGATATTGGCTCTTTAGTGAGAGTCGCAGAAGAGCACTGCATTTTCCGCATAAGCAGGAACCGCAGAAGCGGTCCCTTGTCGCAGAAGCGGAAATGCCTGTTTTGATATAGAAAATTCTTGAGGGTTTGGATTCTCTAAGTTTAGAAAACGAAATTGAGCTCGGGCAATGGGCGATTTATCAGAGGGTTTTGAAGAGAAGCTATGGACTAACTTCTTTAATCCTTCTAGTTATTTTCATCATTTGTAAGGTTAAATATCCTTTAATTCGAATTTGGGATCAAATTTGGAAGAAATTGGGCAAAAACTTCATAGGCTAAACCATTGAGTTTTGAGTGAGCATTTGACCTCCGATTCTGGGAGATTTTTATATGGTTAGACTCGTGAGAGTGCGAAGTTTCCAAAATGTGAGAATTATCGATTTCAGAGGCATGTCTGAAGGGCATTTTGGTCATTTCACGTAATTTCACCGCCGTAAGTTTGAATTAAATAGCAAAACCAGTTTTTTGCGAGTTTTTTATGATATGTAATAATGTATTTGAATAGATTTGGGCATTTGGAGTCGGATACTCGTGAGCAAAGGCGATGGTTTCTAGTTTTTTTGAGTCGGTTCGGAGGTAAGTGGCTTGTCTAACCTTGTGTGGGGGACCTTTCCCCTTAGGATTTGATATGTGATAATTGAGTGCCTTGTACGTGAGGTGACGAGCGCGTACTTGAGCTAATTGTTGAAAAACCCGGTTTTTACTTAAGATATTGAGACTGAGTTTCCTTCATATTTGCCTTGTTTTACTTGTAGTTATAACCTGTGTTAGATTAGAAAAGCATGTTTAGTTGATTTAACTTGCCTAATTGTTTAAGTTGCCTTGACTGTACTACGTGAAGCATGCTAGGCTAGTACTACCTGATGTTTGCCTTTTGTACTTCATTTTTGAATAACTTCTGGTCGTGGTTGCGCATTTACATTGGGACTACGGATGTGGGATTCCGGTAGCTTCCCCCCCCCCCCGTTGTTTGTTTACTTTGGGACTGCGGGTTCGATTCCTGATAGATCCCCCCCTGCACATTTACTTTGGGACTGCGGGTTCGATTCCCGATAGATCCCCTTGCACATTTACTTTGGGACTGCAGGTTCGATTCCCGATAGATCCCCCTGCACATTTACTTTGGGACTGCGGGTTAGATTCCCGATAGATCCCCCAGTACATTTACTTTGGGACTGCGGGTTAGATTCCCGATAGATCCCCCTGCACATTGATAGCCGGACTACGGGACGGTATCCCGGGAGATTCGGATATACACATATGATGGACTACGGGAAGGCATCCCGGGAGATCCACTGGACAGTTGAGAAAAGGACTACAGGACAGTATCCTGGGAGATCCTCATTGTTACCATTGGTATTGAGCTGCACTTATTTTGTGGTTGTTCCGTTCTTTGTGTATTTGATATTGCCTTGTTTAACCCGTCTTATCTCACTGCTGTACTCATTATTATTGTCAGTTTTTCATACTGTTAATTTATTATTATAATTTATCTCAGTAGGGCCTGACCTTTCTCGTCACTACCCAACCGAGGTTAGGCTTGGCACTTACTGAGTACCGCTGTGGTGTACTCATGCCCTTCCTGCGCATATTTTTTCATGTGGAGATCATCCAGGTACCTCCACTCAGGCGCACTATCAGTGAGGCAGGAGGACTACGGAGACTTCGAGGTAGATCTGCTACGTCCGCAGACCGATGAGTCTCCCTCTTACTCTATCTTTAGTACTTAGCTTACCTTCTTTCGGTTGTTAGAAATTCTGGAGTTTGGAACCTTTACTATACACTTCTGTAGCCTATGTTGCCCGTGAGTTTCCGGGTTTTGGGAATTGTTTTAGACTTGTGATATTGAGTTGTACTTGCCAAGCGACATTCAGTACAGTTTCCTTTAGATATTTGATTTGATTTTTCTCTATTTTTTCGCAATTATTATATTTCCGCAAATGTTAGGCTTACCTGGTCATGGGGACCAGGTGCCGTCATGACATGTTCACGGTTGGTGAACTAGGGTCGTGACACTATGTCTGCCCAATCCTCTCTTACATGGCTTCGGGCTTTGCCTCTTTTCCATCAAATGCAATGTCTAACCCTTTGTTGGATGAGTAGGTCCTTCATCCTTCTTTGCCATCTGGAGAAACCGTCATTACCGTTTAATCTTGTTACTTCATATTTTACTCCTGATATTTTTTTATCACAAAGTAAAATCGATTGTAAATAATATTTCTGTGAATGAGCAGAATATGTGCTCTGATACAACTAGTTAGGAATAAACCCTCTACAGAAATAATATTCACAGTAATAAAAGCGGAATAATAATTTAGCACTGAGATACAGTAATTAACAACAATAAAAGAGTGACAACGATACCAAGATTTTTATGTGGAAAACCCTTTTGAATAAAGGAAAAAAAACGGCCCCGAGACGAGCAACTGATATCACTATAGCAAGGAATTTTACACGTTGTAGGTCCGAATAAAACAATCCAAAGACCATTACAACATTCAAAAAAGAAAACCTCTTTTGATATTCCCACTCACTACAATATTTCTCACTTTCTATTTTTCTCACAGACTACTTTCTTATACCCTGTCTGTGATGCCACACTCTTTCTTTCCCTCGTTGTTGGTGTGTAGAAATGAGAGCCAGAGCTCTCCTTTTATAGCTGAAGCCTCAATCTCTGAGCCTACTATATTTGACAATTTGCACATATTTTTCCTTCTTTTTCTTCAATGTCTTTTTTTTAGCATAAAGATATTTATTTATAATAAACTAGAGTGCGGGTGGTAGCAAACTACCATCATTACTAGTGCCCTAATGGGATATACATATGCCTCTTAGGGCATTGTTATTTCCTAAGACAGCCAAATTACAACACGCAAAAGTCGATACTTTGCTAACACAAATATAACATTCCTGATCTTTGTGATAGGCATCTATCATAGGTTCAGGAGGTAAAACAAAGGTACAAAATTTATTAAAACTAGGCTGCTTAAAAGCTTCTTTTGTCAAAGGATGTGCGACACTGTTTCCTTCACGAAAGTTATGCTTCACCACAATCTCCCCTATCTCCATTGCCTTCTCCATTAACCACCTGCATTCATTGATTAAGTCATTGTAAGTGCGATAACTTTCGTGCATAAATCTTATAATTTCAGTGGCGTCCGTGTCCACTTCAATTGGGATTATTTTTTCCTTGACTATGAGTTGATGTGCCTGCTGCAGTGCTTGTAATTCTACTTGAGTTGGAGCCACTGCATATGTTTTATTGTGGTACCCTATTTTCCATAGTCCCTTGCCGTCTCGAATGACACTGCTGATTCCTCCCTGCGGGCTATTGCTCTTAAAAGCACCATCAATGTTTATATTTTACCAGCCCTTAGGAGGAGCCTGCCATTTGATACTAACGGTCCTTTGTAAATTCTTAGTGGTAGGATTGGCAATCAATAATTTGTATTCAACCGCTTGGTTAATTACCTTATTAATATTAATATGGTTATTGGTATTGTTTTGGTTATTGTAGTTTCTATTATTCCATGTAGCCCATAATGTGAACGGAAAAAGATCTTCACACGTGACATACTTGTATATAAAATTGATATTAGCATTCTTGATTCTGTCGACCCAATGTGTTGTACTTGTTAGAGGAATAATATTGCAATCCATTAAGTCCCAAAACGATTTCGCAATGTGGCATTCCCAGAAGATATGTGTTATAGTTTCATTAGTGTTCTTGCATATCGGGCATTTAGGGTCAATGTTCATACAAATTTTACTAAGGTATGCCCTACTTGGAAGTCTATTGTGGTAGCATTTCCACATGAAGAACTTAAGTTTGCTTGGACATTTTAAGTCTCATATCCATTTAAAGTTGCCTGGCACTGAAGAAGAAAGATCAGATGCGCCAACTTTGCTCTTTGTATGTTTTCGTTGTTAGGAATGGTTTGTTCGTCAATTAACTTCTAGCAAGAATTGGTTGAAAAATACACCACTAAGATTTATGCTCCATAGGAGGTTATTAGGAGATCTAACTTGCTTGTTGGGAGTTAAGGCGTTAATGTTATTGATAATATGTTGAGGGATTTGGAAGGAGATTTTTTCCAAATCCCAAGAGCCAATTTCACAAATATCTTTGATTTTTAAATTGCTCTCGGATGTTGTTAGAGGGCCAATAACACTGCTCCTAAGGTGTGTAATATTCGGAACCCAATTAGTATCCCAAATATTTGCATTAGAGTTTTGGTGTACTGCCCACCTGATGCCTTTGTTGCAAATGGACCAATCTTTTAGGAGACTAATCCAAGTATGTGACCCATTTTTTGCATTTTTACTCTTTTCGTAATTATTAATTAGTACTTTTGCCCAAATGGATGAAGGGTTGTTGAGAATTCTCCAAGCAAGGCTCGTTAGAAGAGCTAGATTTTTTGACTTTGCCTTTTTGATACCTAGACCACATTGAGCTCTTGTTCTAGTAATTATATCTCACTTAATTAAGTGAAGCTTTTTCTTTTTCTTCAATGTCAACAATTCAACAATGTTGGCTGCCAAACCAAATAAATTCTCAGCCAAATATTTTCCTTAGGCACATGCCTATTACTTTGGCTTTTGAATGAGATGGAACCCATCATTTTCATCACCCAATGCTACACGTAAAAGATTCAATTTTTCTATATATATTGCAAGAAAACTCATAATCTTAACAAATATTTGTTATATCGGAAGCAAATGAAGACACTTCTATTTGCTCTTACTGCATGATTGTCAATGCGATTATCATTGTCCCCTATAACTAGTGTGGTGAATAAACTTCTCAATATGATAATATGATATTATATGATAACGTACACAATCAGAATCACCATTTCTAATATATCTCTCTCCAACATATTATTGTACCCAAATCTTGATTTCATTATATCTCAGTATTCCTCGCTACAGCAAACCAGGAATTTCCCCTGGTATTCGCTTCTAATTCCTCTGCTTATTTTCATTTTCTTCCTCCATCAATGGTTCTTTACTACTTCAAATACCCAAAAAAGTTACCCCCATCTCCGAGAAAGCTTCCAGTTATAGGAAATCTTCATCAACTTGGGCCACATCCTCATCGTTCTCTCCATAAATTATCAGAAAAATATGGTCCAGTCATGCTACTTCACTTGGGCAATAAGCCAGTGGTCGTTGCTTCCTCTGTTGATGCTGCTCGTGATATTATGAAAACCCACGATCTCGTCTGGTCAAGCAGACCTAAATCTAGCATTGCTGATAGACTATTTTATGGCTCCAAAGATATAGCCTTCAGTCCTTATGGTGAATATTGGAGGCAAGTTAGAAGTGTTACTGTGTTTCACCTTCTTAGCAACAAAAGAGTCCAATCTTTTCGTGATGTCGGAGAAGAAGAAATATTGAACATGATTGAAAATATTAGACGAGAGTGTGAATCTTCGAGTTCAGTGATAGATTTGAGAGATCTTTTCTGTTCTCTGACTAATAACATAATTAGCAGAGTGGCCTTAGGGAGGAAATATGGAATACATGGTAAAACCACCCTAGATGGATTTGTTAACCTTTTAGGTACATTTAACGTCGGGGAATATATTCCGTGGCTTGAATGGTTCAATAAAATTAGTGGTCTTGACACCAAAGTGGAGAAAGCAGCAAATGAGATGGACACATTTTTGGAGAGTGTGATTGAAGAACATATCAGAAAAGAAGAATACTGCTCGGGTGAAGCTAAAGATTTAGTGGACGTTTTGTTGGAAATTCAGAATGGAAATGAAACATGCTTTCCTCTTCAAAGGGATTCACTGAAAGCTATTCTCTTGGTAAGCCTCTCGTATACTTCCACATGGAATTTTTTTGTGTGTGTGCGCGCTCATGACTCATGAGAACATTAAAAACTTTACAAGCGTTAATTCTAAACACATAATTTCAAAAGTATAATATATTCAAACATCAAGTCCAAATCCTGAATGTTTATGCCTCGAACAGCGACTCATAGGCCTTAAGAACATGATATGCATATTTTATGCCTTTTTCCATTCCTATGTCTGTTGTGTTTTAATTTTTTATAAGAATTGAAATTTAAATTGTACTAATAATGTTCTATAATTAAAAATTTGGTGTCTTAGAATATTTGTTATGGTGTGTGTCTGTGATATTTTTCCATAAGGCACTGATCTATTTCAAAATTTTAAACCAGTGAATGTGAATATTGTACATAATTAATCCAGAAGAAAAGCAATAGTGAAACTGCACAAACTGTTTTAATGCTTCATCCACCCATGGTTAGTGACCGTAATTCAAATATTGGAATGTAAAAATGAAGCTTCAGTTATTTTTTTTTTCTTTTTGTGTTTCTTTTTAATGCATAGGATACATTTGCTGCTGGTACGGATACAACGTATACAGCTTTAGACTGGATAATGACAGAGCTTTTGAGGCATCCAAGAGCCATGGTGAAATTACAGAATGAAGTGCGACAATTAGCCCAAGGGAAATCAGAGATAACAGAGGATGACTTAGGAAATATGCAGTATCTGAAAGCAGTGATCAAAGAAACTCTCAGACTTCATCCACCGAATCCACTACTACTTCCTCGAGAATCATTGGAAGATGTAAAATTACTAGGCTATCATATCCCTGCTAAAACTCAGGTCATAATTAATGCTTGGGCAATCGGAAGAGATCCATTGTCGTGGGAAAATCCAGACAAGTATCGGCCAGAGAGATTCTTAAATAATGATATTGATGTCAAAGGACTAAACTTCGAGTTGATTCCCTTTGGTGCAGGCAGGAGAGGCTGTCCAGGAATTGGTTTTGCTATTATTGTAAATGAGCTTGCAATAGCGAGGCTTGTGCACAAGTTCAATTTTGCATTACCAGAAGGGATAAAAGGGGAGGATTTGGATATGACTGAAGGCACTGGCATCACTATTCGTAGGAAATCACCTTTGCTAGCAGTGGCCACTCCTTACTCTAGTTAGTAGCCTTTTCTGAAATATTCACCCATGTTAAATACTCCCTATAGATGAAGAAAAAAAGCTCTAAAATAATGTTATAATAAAACTATGTATGATATTTATATTTTAAGTTTATCTGATACTTGTACAGGTAGGAGATAATAGGTACTGATGCACGCAAATTGGTTGAATACCTTAGTTATAAGAAAATGAAGAAAAAGATAAACTGAGCCCTGGGCTTTATTTTGTGGTAGAATCTTTTAGCACACAATACAATAGTGTACAACTACTACAAAATAGAAATATTTTCTGTGCCAATCTATTTGCTCTTGTCCATGCTTGAGAGAGGACCCGGACCACGTCTTTTTCTTATCAACGTGAAAATGTTATCAGAATGAATCATCGTCGTAGCACTTGAACGCATTAGACTTGTGTAGTTGAACAAGGGGGATATAGTCCTGAACATGATTAATCTGTTATCCAATTTTGATCTCTTCTTCATGACTTCATCCTTAATAATTTGGGAGAACACACCCCAGCCCTCTGTCAAGGGACAAAAGTACATCCACATTTGAAAAGTTCTCACTAGCATGAAAAGAGATTAAAAGAAAACTAGCAAGAATCATACAAAAATAAATAGCTTAATTAGCTTCAAGATTAGCGGAAGAAATGATCAAACAATACACCACATGAATCAAGAAAAATACGTGACTGATCCCAATTATGTTATTTTTTTAATACAAATAAGTATTCATGGACCAGACTAGCAAGTTAGCATCTACAGAGGGATCAATATTCAATAATTCAACAAGAAGCTGTATCTCTATTTTTTTAACAGAACAGACGAAAAGTTTTCATCACCCAATGCCTCACGTAAAAGATTAGATTTTTCTAAAAAATTGAAAGAGATGCTCATAATCTTGACAAAGATTTGGTACATCCTTGATAGTTATGTATAAAAGGATATCTCCACGATTTGTTTGAACTAATCACAGACATTGACACATATATTGGTTTTCACGTGAAAACTAGCCATAATCCTCTTAGAAAGCCACAACCTCTATGTAAACGAAGCAGAGTTCTCCGTTTGTCTTTGTTTTATTTACTGAAAACGTTGGATTTTCAAGTGTTTAAACTATGTTTGAAGAATTTTCTTATTTGTTTTGTAAGCTAATCGAGAATCAGAAATTAATTCTACATACACCCTAAAATTGTGTTATTTCATTGAATTAAAGTACGTGTGTATGGAAGTTTGTCTATTTATTGCAGACGAAACTTTCAAAAAGATAGAGCACAACTGCACAGAGAGAAGGTAATCGCGGCATAGGACAGTAGTTGGAAAGTATCTCCATCAACTAGAAATTTTGATGTTTCTTCTTGATCCTTTATACTTTGTGAGAATGCATCCCAGCCCTCTACCAAGAGCAAAAGAACATCAACATTTGAAAAGTTATGACAAGCACGAAAAGAAAAGAAAGAAAAATAAGCAAGAATCACTAAAATATTATACTAGTGAATAACTTAGCTGAAGAAATGTTTAAGAATTCACCACGTAAATCAAGAAAAATACATGACAGATCCCAATTATATTATTTAAAGAAACCCAAAGTATACATGGTGAAAACTTGCAAGTTTGCGTCTAATTCAACTAGTAGCTGTTATAATACAATGGAATCAACAATTCAACTAGCAGCTGTTATAAAAAAGCTTCTGTTAGCTAACAGTGTTATTAACTTGAAGCCTCAATTCTAAGTACCAAAGACTTAATTTCATTATATCTCAGTACTCCTCGCTACAACAAAAAATGGATCTTCCCTGGTGTTCGCTTCTAATTCCTCTGCTTGTTTTCATTTTCTTCCTTCATCAGTGGTTCTTTACTACTTCAAACACAGGCCAAATAAANATTAGGTGGGAAATTACTTACCCCAAAAGTCATGGAAGAGGGGAGCTTCAATGGAGTCCTAAGGCTTGATGGAGAAGAGAGCTCGTGAGAAGAAGTGAAGAATTCCCGTAATGAAATGTTTTGTATTTTAAAAAAATCACTGAAGCCTTTTTGTTCTATGCGTTCGCGAAGGAGGGCTGGTTTGATGCTCTATGCGTTCGCGATGGTGCTATGCGAACGCATAGAAGGAAACTGGGGGGGGGGGGTCCAGGTTTGGCCTACGCGTTCGCGAGGGGAGGTATGCGAACGCGTTGAAGAGGGGTATAAAGTTATGCGAACGCGATGGAGGGACGCGAACGCGGAAGGAGAAATGTCAGAGCTATGCGAACGCGAAGGGGGGGCTGCGTTCGCGAAGAACAAAATCTGGTCTGCAACAACATGAAAAAATCTGATGTGCTTTCTAAGTGTAAAACTACCCCGAACCACCTCCGAATCACTCCCGAGCCCTCGGGGCTCCCAACCAAACACACACACTAACTCAATAACATCCTACGAACTTAGTCGAGCGATCAATCGCCAAAATAACATCAAAATCAATGAATCAAACCTCAAAATCATCATTTTTCATTTCAAGTTCATAACTTCAAATTTTAGATATTTAGGTCCGAAACACGTCAAATGACGTCCGATTTCGACCAAACTTTACAGAAAGCGCTTAACTCATATTTAAGACTTGTATCGGGTGTCGGAACCAAAATACGAGCCCGATACCATAGTCTTTTAATCAATTTTCATTTCCATTTTCCTTAATAATTTCAGAAAAATAATTTCACATAAAAATTCATTTCTCGGGCTCTCGACCTCGAAATTCGACTCCGGGCATATGTCCGAGTCTCATATTTTTCTACGGACCCTCCGGGACCGTCAAATCACGGGTCCGGATCCGTTTACCAAAAATGTTGACCAAAGTCAACTTTAATCATTTTAATGCCACATTTTAAAATTTTTCACAGAATTTAACATATAAGCTTTCCGGCTACGTGCCCAGACTGCGCACGCAAATCGAGGCAAATAGAAATGAGGTTTTCAAGGCCTCGGAAGCACGGAAAAGAGAGAAATCCGGTGATGACCCTTTGGGTCGTCACATTGAGGCATTAATGTTATTGATAATATGTTGAGTGAGTTGGAAGGAGATTTTTTCCAAATCCCAAGAGCCATTGTCACAAATATCTTTGATTTTTAAATTGCTCTCAGATGTTGTTAGAGGGCCAATAACACTGCACCTAAGGTGTGTAATATTTGGAATCCAATTAGATCCCAAATATTTGCATTAAAGTTTTGGTGTACTGCCCACCTGATGCCTTTGTTGCAAATAGACCAACCTTTTAAGAGAGTAATCCAAGTATGTGACCCACTTTTTGTATTTTTACTCTTTCCGTAATTACTAATCAGTACTTTCGCCCAAATAGATGAAGGGTTGTTGAGATTCTCCAAGAAAGGCTCGTTAGAAGAGCTAGATTTTTGACTTGGCCTTTTTGATACCTAGACCACATTGAGCTCTGGTTCTAGTAATTATATCTCACTTAATTAAGTGAAGCTTTTTCTTTTTCTTCGATCTCAACAATTCAATAATGTTGGATGCCAAACCAAAGAAATTCTCAGCCAAATATTTTCCTTAGGCACATGCCTATTACTTTGTCTTTTGAATGAGATGGACCCCATCATTTTCATCACCCAATGCTACACGTAAAAGATTCGATTTTTCTATATATATTGCAAGAAAACTCATAATCTTAACAAAGATTTGTTATATCGGAAGCAAATGAAGACACTTCTATTTGCTCTTACTGCATAATTGTCAATGCGATTATCATTGTCCCCTATAACTAGTGTGGTGAATAAACGTCTCAATATGATAATATGATATTATATGATAATGTACACAATTAGAATCACCATTTCTAATATTTCTGTCTCCAACATATTATTGTACCCAAATCTTGATTTCATTATATCTAAGTATTCCTCGCTACAGTAAAATCATGAATCTCCCCTGGTAATCGCTTCTAATTCCTCTGCTTGTTTTCATTTTCTTCCTCCATCAATGGTTCTTTACTACTTCAAATACCCAAAAAAAGTTACCCCCATCTCCGAGAAAGCTTCCAGTTATAGGAAATCTTCATCAACTTGGGTCACATCCTCATCGTTTTCTCCATAAATTATCAGAAAAATATGGTCCAGTCATGCTACTTCACTTGGGCAATAAGCCAGTGGTCGTTGCTTCCTCTGTTGATGCTGCTCGTGATATTATGAAAACCCACGATCTCGTCTGGTCAAGCAGACCTAAATCCAGCATTGTTGATAGACTATTTTATGACTCCAAAGATATAGCCTTCAGTCCTTATGGTGAATATTGGAGGCAAGTTAGAAGTGTTACTGTGTTTCACCTTCTTAGCAACAAAAGAGTCCAATCTTTTCGTGATGTCAGAGAAGAAGAAATATCTAACATGATTGAAAATATCAGACGAGAGTGTGAATCTTCGAGTTCAGTGATGGATTTGAGAGATTTTTTCTGTTCTCTGACTAATAACATAATTAGCAGAGTGGCCTTAGGGAGGAAATATGGAATACATGGTAAATCCACCCTAGATGGATTTGTGAACCTTTTAGGTACATTCAACGTCGGGGAATATATTCTGTGGCTTGAATGGTTCAATAAAATTAGTGGTCTTGACACCAAAATGGAGAAAGCAGCAAATGAGATGGACACATTTTTGAAGAGTGTGATTGAAGAATATATCAGAAAAAGAGAAAGTACTAGCTCGGGTGAAAAGCTAAAAAGATAATGGAACGTTTTGTTGGAAAATTCAGAAATGGAAAATGNTGAGTTTAAGTGAACAGTGTTTTCACGATTTTGAAAGAGAAGAAACATTTTGGACTTCGGACTAAGGAGATTTTGGGCGATTTTTGAAGAGGGTTTCGAGGGCTATCATCAGGTATGGATTCTTAGACTTAGATTATGATATTATGGTGTAAAATCATGGATTAACACTGAAAACCCAAGGAATTAAAGGGTAAAAATGGGGTAAGTTAGGGTTTGAGAATTTTGATGTAAAAATGGAATTTGGAAGGTCAAACGAACTCCGATTTTGGTGAACTTTATATGTATGCACTCGTGGCGAGACGAGGAATCCGGCGATGTGAATTTCGTAATTTTTCGAGAAGCGGGTCCGGGGCTCGGGTTTTGCTAGTCTCGAGATTTCTGCTATTTCTTGGTTGTTTTTGATTGGGTATTGTTCCCTTGGCATATTGTAATGTATTCGCTCTGATTTTGGTTAGATTCGACGCGCGTGGAGGCCGGTTTGAGGGGCAAAGGCGTCGAGAGCTAGAG